GGGGGGGGGGAGGAAGGAGATGGGGGTCAGACTTTTTTTCATAAAAACGCCAAAAAAGGGTCCGGAATCGGGGTCCTCCCCAGGAAAATTTTGACCCTTAGATGGCGGGAAATGAGCTTTCCAGACTTCAGAGGTGTCTTTTAATGACTTCAAAACTCAAGGTTTTCTCCCTCTTGAAAACGGCCAGGTAAACTATCTCATTCTTATTACAGTAAATAGGCCTATTTAAGATGTGTATAAGAGACAGCCTTGTAACAGGCAAAACATTACCGATAACTATTAATTGACGATGAACATACCGTATCGCCGTTAACGTTTGACAATGCAGATGCCTCTCTCTATTCTTTTCCTTATAAGTTTACAGTATCGAAAGAGTCTGTAGAGTGACTACACTCAGATAAACAATTTTATATATTAAATATATTATATAATTATGTAATATATAGTTTATATTATAAAATGTGTTATAACAATGATTTTAACTAATTTATCTTGCATTTTGTTATTGCAGGTAAAAATTCAATTTAACTAATTTGTGAGAAAAATTAATTAAACTTTATTGAGATAAATTAATTTAAAAAACAGATAGCTTGAACTTACATCATTATCATAATCTTCCTGTACCGTACATAACCTCGCACAACGCATGAAGATCACAATACACATAGTCATAGGTATACTTTCTATTTTTCAGATGAACATACCGTATCGCCGTTAACGTTTGACAATGCAGATGCCTCTCTCTATTCTTTTCCTTATAAGTTTACAGTATCGAAAGAGTCTGTAGAGTGACTACACTCAGATAAACAATTTTATATATTAAATATATTATATAATTATGTAATATATAGTTTATATTATAAAATGTGTTATAACAATGATTTTAACTAATTTATCTTGCATTTTGTTATTGCAGGTAAAAATTCAATTTAACTAATTTGTGAGAAAAATTAATTAAACTTTATTGAGATAAATTAATTTAAAAAACAGATAGCTTGAACTTACATCATTATCATCATCTTCCTGTACCGTACATAACCTCGCACAACGCATGAAGATCACAATACACATAGTCATAGGTATACTTTCTATTTTTCAGATGAACATACCGTATCGCCGTTAACGTTTGACAATGCAGATGCCTCTCTCTATTCTTTTCCTTATAAGTTTACAGTATCGAAAGAGTCTGTAGAGTGACTACACTCAGATAAACAATTTTATATATTAAATATATTATATAATTATGTAATATATAGTTTATATTATAAAATGTGTTATAACAATGATTTTAACTAATTTATCTTGCATTTTGTTATTGCAGGTAAAAATTCAATTTAACTAATTTGTGAGAAAAATTAATTAAACTTTATTGAGATAAATTAATTTAAAAAACAGATAGCTTGAACTTACATCATTATCATCATCTTCCTGTACCGTACATAACCTCGCACAACGCATGAAGATCACAATACACATAGTCATAGGTATACTTTCTATTTTTCAGATGAACATACCGTATCGCCGTTAACGTTTGACAATGCAGATGCCTCTCTCTATTCTTTTCCTTATAAGTTTACAGTATCGAAAGAGTCTGTAGAGTGACTACACTCAGATAAACAATTTTATATATTAAATATATTATATAATTATGTAATATATAGTTTATATTATAAAATGTGTTATAACAATGATTTTAACTAATTTATCTTGCATTTTGTTATTGCAGGTAAAAATTCAATTTAACTAATTTGTGAGAAAAATTAATTAAACTTTATTGAGATAAATTAATTTAAAAAACAGATAGCTTGAACTTACATCATTATCATCATCTTCCTGTACCGTACATAACCTCGCACAACGCATGAAGATCACAATACACATAGTCATAGGTATACTTTCTATTTTTCAGATGAACATACCGTATCGCCGTTAACGTTTGACAATGCAGATGCCTCTCTCTATTCTTTTCCTTATAAGTTTACAGTATCGAAAGAGTCTGTAGAGTGACTACACTCAGATAAACAATTTTATATATTAAATATATTATATAATTATGTAATATATAGTTTATATTATTATTGTAAATATTACCAGCAGTGTGCAGACGGGAGCGGATATAAATAAATAACAAACGAGGATCAATTATGGAGGTGCTTCAATAGTAGCTTTGATTTAACAGTTTATAACTAAGTTTTGTACCACTCACATGGTGTGAGCAGAAAGTAAGAGCGATACCTCAAAAGTATTCAGTCTGGTCATATTAACTCCGCACTCTACTAATACAATTCTAATGTCATCCCACTCACTAACTTGGTAGATTCTTCACATTTGACACTTCAATTCTAATCAAGCCTCTCTTTCGATCATGAAATCTAGAATCCCACATTATGGCTCTATTTCACACATACCTCTTCTTAATTTATAATAACGATCTCTATTCCGCAATTACTAATAATATTTCCTAGACACAAATAAACTATTATCTATTCATCTCATGGCTCTATTCATGCAATTGAAGCCGAATTAACTAATAAAGCTTCTTTCTTCACTTTTCACATTTTGTCAATAGACTATAATCCTACGTATATAAAAACCGGTAATATACGTGTGATTGGCGTTATAGATTAAAGCAATGAAACGTTTGTAATAAATAGTTGTAATACAATGTCACCGTGTTCGTCTTATTCTCCAATTTGCATTGACCAATAGCCGCAGTCAGAATGTTTAATGATACAAGCATAGTAAAGTTTTATTAGACAAGACACTCACCTTATCCTAATTGCCAATCGAAGCGAACGATTAAAGACGTTTGATACATTTCATAATATAACGTTAAAGCGCTAGGCCTACTATTATACAGGACAATGTATGTTTTTGCTGCCTTGCTTTCTTTCGTCTTTTGCTTTGGAGCCGGTATTTTAATTACTGGCACAGGTCCGTATGTTGTTGTTCCACAGTATGGTTTACTGGGCTGGAGTCAGGAATTAGTGAGCATTAATCGTATCCAATGTCTGTGGTCGTGCTCAAGTAAATCTAATTGTTTTCGGTGAATTACAATCCGCAAAATGAAGTTAATGAAGTTGTCAATTAAACAAGCAGATGCGAGAGGATGCAACGATAGATTTCAGAGAAAACCCCTCATACGAGTACATGGAAAAGATGGGTAACTAGCAATAATCTAAACGTAGTGATAGGCCTACTTAATAAAGAACAAATTGAAAATTTGATTTCATTAAAAAATAGAATTCGCTAATACAAACGTATAAGCCACTCTAAGTACAGGCTAGAGGAAGGAGAAAAAAGAAAAGAAAACATTTGAAACAAGGCGAGGGAGACAGTATGATTTTATAAATCAGATCAAAATAACAAAAAGCATTAAAAATATTAAGGTGGATAAGGTGCTTATTCACATTGCTCGTGAAACACAGAGCCATGGCTCTGAGAAATTAGGCCCCCATTAACTTGTTTGATTCTGCACTTAGGCTTCGTCAAAGTTAGATGATGAGAAGGCTTTGAGAGCCTGTTACACGACCAGTAATTTTGATGGTGGGACTAGATTTGATAACCCAAAAGAATAAAATCCATGTCATATTTATAAAACAACAACTCTAATTATGAGCAAGAGGATGTAAGGTAATGAGAACCAACTTCTCCAACATATTGACAAGTCTCTATTGAATCCAATATTTTTAAATTGCAGGTTGGGGCCCCAAACACATATCGTAACATTACCTTATGAGATGCACATGATAATCATGTAAAAGTACGTAAGAGCAGGTGGAGGAAGAAACTGCCTTGCTCTGTACATTCAACAAGCATTTGCTACTCTCTTACCTGTACGGGCGATGTAGGCCTAATTGAATGCATTGCCAATCATACGAATATAAACTAATGTAAGCATTGGCATCAAACCTATACAACGAGATGAAACTTTTGTCTCGAGCGAGAGTTACATCAAGTTGGTTTCCTTGGAATTGACAAGGCGTTTACTGTCACAATGCAGATTTATAATCATTAAGAACCACAAAGAACAATTAGAGAAAAAATAGAGCCGGATGAAGGACAAAAAATATTCAACCGTTAGCACACATCAAGTTTTAGACTGGGCTTTATCAGAATGATCATTTACGTAAATTAGAGAGAAGAGGCAACAACTGATCTTTGAGACACTTCTGAACAAAGAAAAACAGTAATAGAATGTCCATCACCGATTATCCTTTACGGAAGAAAATCTAAAATTAAGTTAAGGTTTAAAGAAAAATAGAAATTATGGAATAAGATGATATAGTAATATTATTGCACCACTTAATAGCACATATACAATAAACCAGCGTCCCCATTCCTTTTAATACTGAGATACTTTAATGTCATCAATCGTGCAATGCCTGTCTCTTATACACATCTAGATGTGTATAAGAGACAGCCTATATATATATGAATGTTTTAAACGACATGTTTCGACGTTTCAATTGTCATCATCAGGCAATAACGCTGTGCTACTGACGGCTTAAATACTGCCGGTCAGATGTAAAGTGAAAACGAGCAAATATTAAGGTAAGTCATGTATATAGAGGTCAGGAATGCTATGGTGAGTCATGTATATAGGAATTAGAATGAATTAGAATGAAAGAGTGATATTGTAATGAGTTGTTTGTTTGTTAAGTGACGGATTTCCCCAAGCAATGTCGACATGTCGAAATCAACCATCTTGCCAAGACGACATACAATTTGTATTATGTCGACTTGTCAAGATAATCTTTGTCGCCATGACAACATAACATTTTTATTATGTCGACTTGGCAAGATAAATTATGTCGCCATGACAACATAACATTTTTACTATGTCGACTTGAAAAGATAATCTATCTCGCCATGACAACATACAATCTTTATTATGTCGACTTGTCAAGCATTTTTACTATGTCGACTTGACAAGATAATCTAACTCGCCATGACAACATACAATTTGTA